GCATCGACAATATTGAGCGCACTTGACAAATAAAACATATAGACCAGAATTTGAGTTAAAACCATCCTGTCACATTTACAATATATAAAAGTAAACAAACATCTTGGAGTGATTACAAGGGGGTATTCTAATTTCAGGAGTTCAGAGGGCAATTATAACATGCTCGCAGTTCACAGTCACTGGGATGCCATCTGAACTCTTTATTAGATGACTGCCTTGGGACCACTCTTGAATATTTGCTATTTTCTCCCACACAAAAGGAGAGCATGTAACAATAAAAATCCACATGCAACCAGGTAACTAAATCTAGCAGCAAAGGATAAATAAACCATAAATGAAAGGGGGTCGAAACAAGCATAATGGAAGAGAAGGGATCAACGCAATGCCAGGTGTGATTAACTTAGTCCTTTGTAGCAAGGCAATGCAGACAGGCTGGGAGCTGAGCAAATTAAAAAAAAACTATAAAAATATTTTAAAAATAAAATCGTAACTAAAAGAAATGCTCTTCACCTTAATTCTTCAGGAAGCAGTTGGCCGACGTATCATTTACTGCAGCTTCTCATTGGTTGAGTTACAAAAAAATTTCACTGCGCATTGCATCAGAATTTATAGGATTTTAATTTTTTTGTTTTTTTTTGTTTGTGGAAGGTGTGATAAGAACCTGGTGAAATCAGAACCTCACAGAACCTAAAGACAAAAATGAAACCCGATGAAAGGTTGCCTGATAAACTGAGAAACCAAAATGGAAAAATCACTTGGTGAAGAATTACAGTGAACAGCATTAGTTATTGAGGACTTTTGTTTATTGGCCACATGCACAGTTCAAGCATGTTGCAAAAAACTAAAAGCAACGGCGAGCAAATGGGAAACAACAGTGTTGTCATTACCTTCAAACCATCAACAGTGTATCTAAGAATGTAGTGGTACGTCGGCACCTGTAAATGAGCTACCCCTAACGCCCACCTCCACCCTCCTCCTTCAAACTGTATCGGTGGAACACTGACAAAGTAAAGTCACATTGTGCTGGTGCTTATGTAAAATTCATGTGTCCTATCTGAAAGAGGATATTAAAAATGTGGATTCATGCGTGTGTTACACATATCGGGCATTAGTTAAGAAGAATTCAGCCCTTGCTTTGTGTGGAATTGAAGGTTGCTGAGATCAATGTAGAGTTTGTAATGGAGGTGGTGGGGAAAGAAACACAGGAATATTAACAATTAAATTCACATCCACTTCTGAAATGGCTTAGAACATCCCAACAATTTAGTTACATTCAAACATAGGTGCAGTGTGATTAAGTGCTCAAAGATGGCACAAGTAAATAAATTAGTACTGAATAATAGAACTAGAATGATGGAACTTTTTCTTAATAAGTTACTGACTGTAGAATATAGTTATTCACTCTGGCTTAGACTTAGCATTTTTTAAAACTGTTGAAGTGTAATATTTCAGTCAACATCATGTGAAAATGATGTTCTTTCTTTTTTCTTGACAATTCGCTCCTCTCTCAAAGATATTGATCTCTTGCTTGGGTAATAACCTGAAAAGTCAGCCACCCTCTTTGTTCTTTCACCCATTTGCATCTACAAGCACCTGAGCCTAGACAGCAAGTGTGATTTTCCAGATCATCTCAGATCCACCGTGGTGCTGTTCTCACTGTCTTGACCAAACTTTTAGTCACCTGTCCTTATAACATCTTTTTGTGGTCTCGTGTCAAATTTTCTGTTCACATTTCAGTGAAGGACTTTGGGGCATTTCAACAAAGGGAAAGATGCTACAGAAATACAAGATGTTGTTGTTGTAGCCAGATAGTTCTAGCAAAGGTCACTGGATAGCAATTAGGGAATAATTGTGCTAGCCTTGAAACAAAAAGTGCTGATAAGGCCAAGGGCAGGAACACTACAAATGCTCATCTAATTCTGACCCATCAGAGCTTAGGTTTTTCTTGCTGTGTATACTTCTGCTGGTCACTGGTTAAACTCACTGAATCATTAGTGGAGCCGTTAGTCTAAAAGGGAAATGAAAATGAGCTTTAGGAGAGAAAAGAAAAATCAGTGTACAAAGGCTCAAATGGGTCAAAAGAATTTCAATAGTTTTAACATTGGTAATGCCAACACTGTTGAACCTTGAGATGAGACTCTGTATGGTGCGCTGCATTATCTTGCATATCACTTCAAGTGTGATTAGGCCAAACTGCATAAACACCTTTCATCATTTTAGGAGCTGTGAGGTTCCGTGAGAAGATCATAGAAATCATTTCATGTAGCCTATCCTCGTCTTCCTCATCATCCTCGACAGAGACCGATCGGCTGGCAGCTAAGTGGTGGTAGTTAATAGTTACTGCTCAAAGAAAAGATTGAAAGGGCTGATGAGGAGCATACCTTCACTGCACAGTTCACTTATACACTGCTCCTGATAGCTAAAAACAGGCCAAAATTTGTGCTGTAACTTTTACAACCAGCATCAATTCTGCATTGACCTGTTTTAATTAGTATATTCTTGCACCTTAAAATTTGTAATGCACTGCAGTTAGACAATGCATTTCTATCCAATTTTGGCAAGATATTTAGAAGGGATCAATCTCAACACATTCACAAATATGAACACATGCATAGACATTTTCTTCATTAATTATTATCCTTCCTTCCCAAAAGGGAATTTATAAAGAGGAACTTGCACCTCAGTAAGGTCACATTTAATATTCACATATCAATCCAAAATCTGTGCCCAGTAGCTGGTCTCACTCATGGTACCTTTACAGCTGGCCTCAATGTCTGTATTAAGCAAGCTAAAATAGTTCCCCTGATCAACACATGGTAATTCTGACTGGAATGGAGCATCTGTGAACATCATCAGCTTGGTTGTGATACCTTCCAGAGTTGGATAGCACTCACTATCAAGTCTTATATCATAAGGCCACAAAGTAGATACAAGAGGATGGAGGTGATTTGGTTCTGTCTAGGACAGTTGTTGAGAAAGATCTATCACTGCAATAAAAGGAAGATCTGGAAAAACTGGGGTGGCACAAAAAAAATTGTCTGGGATGGAACAAGTACAAATACACTTCCTTTCTTGAGCTAAAAATTTGACTGCTCACTAAAAATTGCAGGAATTAGGTGTGGAATTTTCTGCTTCATCAAGTAAATGCAGGAAGAAAGTCAAAAGCTGAAGTTTCTACATTGTTTTTGCATATTAATTGAATGCTTGTCCAATGTTGCAAGGGATACAGCGATGGGATCTTGGCTGATAGCGATGCTATTTAAAAGGAGTCTTTGCAGCTTAACTGGGAGGTGTAACTTGCCAGTGCTGCATGTATTAAATGTGAATCCCAAAACAAGGAAAATTCATTATCTTTTGACAGTATTTATAAGGGAATTTTATAAGGCTTCCATAATTGTCAGAAGTCTTGACAGATGGTTCATGAATTGATGAATCAACCAATTGGCCTTGAAAAGGAATGAATCTGTGTCTTGCTTGATGTAGTTATTCCCTGCAAATTGAGTACATTGTTTCTGGGTTTAAGTCACACTTTAACATCTCGAATGACCCTCACCTCCCAACCCCCAATGAGCTGAAATGCAGAGTTTGAGAGAGACCTGGGGCTTAGCTACAATTGATGTTAGATCAGGTGACATGCTGTTGGTGCAACCACTCTGATAAAAATGAACCATCAGAAATAATGTCTATGATCTAACAGGAAGCAAGATATTGTGGTTCTTCCTTTGTCCCATCTTTTGGTCATCTCTTTGCTCTGACTGATTGATCATGGCCCAATCACAATCGCAGACCAACTAGTACATACCCGTGGAGATAACAAGAACTGCAATGCTGGAGTCACAGTCAATAGAGTGTGGAGCTGGAGGAACACAGCTGGTCAGGCAGCATCAGAGGAGCAGGAGAGTCAACGTTTCGGGTCAGGACCTTTCATCAGTGTGTACCCATGTTGCCTGAGGAAGTTTGTACTGAAGGCTTGGGCAGAGATTGTCCTCTAGTTTGCAAAAAAACTAAACAAAACTGGAGGTCGAGTGGTGAATTCCCCACTGTCAATGCTAACTCCTTGGGACCAAGACTAACCAAAGGTACTAACAGATTTTTACTTTTCAAAATTTAAGACTTGTGCTCTCAAGGTTTTTTATGGGAGTTAATTATCTCTACACAGGATGCATCAATTCCAGATAAGCCACTGCAGGGCTAGTGACCAGATCAGGAAGGTAGGTTTAGGCAGTGTTGTTTTTTATTGATTTAACACAATGGGCAAATTGGTCTCCTTCTATGTTATCAACTTTCCATGATTTCTACAACACTCACCTCAATATTCTGCACTTAAATGGTGAGGCTTTCTTTTTGAAGCGGAGAGACACTTAGAACCTTTTTAATCCATATTCTAGCTTCCATCTCTCCACTTCCTCTCGTGCATATACATACCACATGCAAACATTTATACATACACACTACAGTTTATGCTCATCCCAAACAATAACTTAAAAATCTGAAGTAGTGTAGGACAGGTTTAATTCCTCTTAGAGTCAATGGCGTTGACTGAATCCCAATCAAAACATGTACTCGAATATAAAGTCTATAAAAGAAAATCACCCACTAATTCAGTCCGAAGGAGATTTGTCTCCAGCTGGTAAAATGGCCACAGATTGCCTGCCTTGTCCCTGCATGATAGAAAATCCCACTGGGTACACAGGATGAGTGGTGAGTTAAAGCTGCCTGGGCACATGATTTCAATTGACGTAGCTCTTAGGAGATTTCACCTGGTTCTCATTCTCATTCAAATTGAATACAAACTTGATGGTGAGAGATCTCATGTCCCTTACTGTCCAGTAATTCCAGATTAAGGCAACAATAAATCAGCAAATGAACGTCTACCAAAATCAAGAAATATTTGCACTTCAGTGAACCAGGAGTGTCAAGAATGGAGCAATAACATTAAACTTCAGCAATAATCTGAGATTCAGCAGATAACACAACAGCAATAATGAACAAAAACTCACCATAGTCATTCTTCTGTCCAGGATAAATTATTCTGAATACATAATCTGTAGTTATTTCTTCATCTGGCTGTTCTTCTGGATCCATGGATTTGGCTCTGCTGTTTCTTTTCCGTAGTTTCGGAAATACCTTGCCCTTGGTGTTTGGGATGTACAGCAGTTAGTTGTGTTGCTAGCTACGAAGTTTGCCTAAGCATCATACTACTCATGAATCAGATGAAATAAATAAGACGTGTACTTATATACCACCCTTTACAACTGCTGGATGTTTCAAAAGTGCATTATGGACAATTAAGGACTTTAGAAGTGTAATCACTGTTGTAATGGAGGAAACATAGCAGCCAATGTACTCTCAGCTTTACAGGACTGCTATGTGCAACACCCAAGCTCTTGCTACTGTTTTAATTGAGAAAAAACAGTTTAGAAAGCCCCTGGAGGAGCACTGTAACAAAAAGTCAAGCGATCAGTGGAAACTTACTTGTAAGATCCGAAGAAAAAGCTGCAGAAGCAGGTAATTCAGCCCATTGAGTCAACTCAACCATTCAGTGAGATCATGGCTGATGTGATAATCCTAGAATCTACTTTCCTGCCTTCTCCCTATAATCATTGATTGCCTCACCTGATTAAAAATCTGTCTATCTTAGCCTATTTAATGACACTTGTAGCCCCTGTAGTGAAGAATTCCTACCAGATTCACTACGCTCAGAGGAAATTCCTCATCTGTCTTAAATACGTGTCACCTTATTCCAAGATTATGTCCTCTGGCCCTAGGCTCTTCAACAAGGCAAATCAATCTTGCTGCATCTACCCTGTCAGCTGCCCTAAGAATCCTGCATGTTTCAATTAGGCCAACTCTCATTCTTCTATATTCTAACTTATGCAACTTCTGTTCATAAGCCAGTGCCTCCATACCTGGTATCAGCTGAGTGAACCTTATCTGTACTGTTTCCAATGCTCAGTATATCTTTCCTTACACAAGGGCCTAAAACGGTTCACAGTTTTCCAGCTGTGGGTTGATTAGTGCTTATAGAGTTTTAGCAATACCTTCCTATTTTTTATACTCTATTCCCTTTGAGATAATGGCCAACATTCCATTTGCCTTTCCTATTACCCATGGGCTAGGACTTCCAAATTCCTCAGTTCTATAGCTCTGTGCAGTCTTTCTCCATTTAAATAATATTCAGCTCCTCTAATATTCCTGCCAAAGTGCAAACCACAGTATATTCCACTTGCCAAGATAATGGGAACTTATCAAAATTAAAACAAAATATCATTGCTCAGAAAAATGATGCTTCCAGCCCCTGTGATCAGACTGTCTTTATACTCTTTTGAAATTGAAATCAATTAAATTAAAAGGTTCTCCTAATACGTGCTTCAATCTTTTCAAAAATCAGCCTAACTGGACATGCTATGGCACACTTCTGTTGCCATCATATCTGAGGTGGGATTTGAATTTGGATATTATGGCACATAGATAGGGAGACTTACCACAATGTTACAAGGCTCTAATATATTAGCTTTTAAATTTGGTTATTTGGTTTAATTAGCATTCTTAATAGTATAAAGAAATACTGTCCTGGGCACCCTCGAGCCCTTATGCAACCAATAGACACCACAGCATGATCTTGTTGAATGGCAGGGGCAGGCACGAGGGGCTGAAGGGCCTATTCTTGTGCAAGGTTTTTGAGTTAGATTTGTAGCTCGGGTTGTTGACTTGCTTGCTAAGCTGGTAAATTTATTCGCAAACGTCGAGTCACCATGCTAGGCAACATCATCAGTGCGCCTCCAGTGAAGCTTAGGTGTTCAGTCCCACTCGCTATTTGTGTGTCTTGGTTTATTAGGCTGGGTGGAATCACTTCCAGATTTGTGGTTGGTATATGGGGTCCAGCTCTACATGTTTGTTAATGGAGTTCCAGTTTGAGCGCCAGGCATCTAGAAATTCTCGTGCATGCCTTTGCTTGGCTTGTCCTAGGATGGCTATGTTGTCCCAGTCGAATTGGTGTCCCTCTTTGTCCATGCATATTGAAATGAGTGATGGTTGGTCATGTCGCTTGGTAGCTAGCTGGTGATTATGAATCCTGACGGCTAGTTTTCTTCCGGTCTGCCCTGTGTAACGTTTTTGGCAGTCTGTGCGTGGTATCTTGTAAATAGCGTTACACATACCCCGCTTCTATGGACTCCCTAAGGTACACAAGCTGGAGGTCCCCCTCAGACCCATTGTCTCACTGCCAGGTACACCAACATACAGATGGGATACATATGGGGAGACGATGGCCTACTGGTATTATCACTGGACTATTAATCCAGACATCCGATAATGTTCTGAGGACCTGGGATTGCATTCCTGCCATGACAGATGATGGAATTTGAATTCAATAAATATCTGGAATTAAGAGTCTAATGATGACCATGAATCCATTGTTGATTGTTGGAAAATCCCATCTGGTTCACTAATGCCCTTTAGGGAAGCAAACTGCTACCCTTACCTGGTCTGGCCTACATGTGACTCCAGACTGTCAGAAATGTGGTTGACTCTCAACTGCCCTCTGGGCAATAAATGCTGCCTAGCCAGTGATGCCCTTATCCCGTGCATGAATAAAAAAACCTAGCCAAAGAACTACAAAGGAGACTGAAACACTAAGTAGATGGTTCAAACCACTCAATCCACTCCACCCAAGAATTCTTCAAAATCAAGGACACCAGAATAGATGAGGATGAGATCATGGTCTCCTTTGCTGTGCTTCTGAACTATTTACCTCCATAAACATCCCCTTAGCTAAAGAAACACCAGCCTCGCTACTAGACAGACCAGGGATATCAACACCCAACAACACCAACACCATTATCAAAGACAGCACCATTAAACTACTGGATCTGTGCCTCACAACCCATTTCACCCTCAACAGCAAGATATACGGATAAAGCAACAGAACACCCACGGAATTACCGTTATCAGGATTAATAGCGGAAGCCGTAATGCAAAGACTGGAACAGACAGCACTTCCCACCATCCAACTAAAACCATGGATCTGCTATGTGGATGACACCTTTGTGATTATCAAACACACTAAACTGGAAGAAACCTATCTACTCATTAACAATATCCTCACTGGCATAAATTCACCAGGAAAGAGGAGAACAACAGCAGGCTTCTCTTCCTGGATGTAATGGTTGAACACATGGCCAACAGTGAGCTTCAGACCAGCATACACAGGAAGGCTGCCCATACAGATCAGGTACTCAACTACAATAGCAATCATCCCAAAACCCACAAAATGAGCTGCATCAAAACACTGTTCAAGCAAGCTGCAACACATGGCAGCACCCCGGAGCTACGCAAAGCCAAGCAAGAATACCCGTACAGCGTCTTTAGAAACTATGGTGACCCAAAAAGCGTAGTCCATTGATACCTACACAACAGACCGCAACAGGAAGGCACAACACGTCCAGAGATACTAGTCACCCTTCCATACATTAAAGACATAACTGAAATGACCACCAGATTATTCCGCCCCCTAGGAATCATGGTAGCCCACAAACCCACAGCTACACTACGACAGCTCCTAATGAGAACAAGGGATCGACAACCAAAACGAACAGAACCAAAGTTATTTACAAGATAACATGCAATGACTGACAAAAACATTACATAGGGCAAACTGGAAGGAAATTAGCCATCAGGACTCATGAGCACCATCTAGCTAACAGGAGACATGACCAACTATCACTCTTTTCAATACACATGGACAAAGAGGGACACTAATTTGACTGGGAAAATGTAGCGATCCTAGGACAAGCCAAGCAAAGACACGCACAAGAATTCCTAGAGGCCTGGCATTCAAACCGGAACTCCATTAGCAAACACGTAGAGAGCTGGACCCCATATACCAACCACTAAGAAACAAATCTGAAAGTGATGCCACCCACCCCAACAAACCAAGACACAAATAGCGAGCAGGACAGAACATCTAAGCTTCACTGAAGGCGCACTGATGATGTTACCTAGCACGATGACGAAACGTTTGTGAACAAACTTACCAGCTCAGTGAGCAAGTCAACAACAGCCTATTCTTGCTTCTATTTGTTATGTTCACAGGGGCAGGAGGGCACGATTTCATTCCAATATGGCACTTTATTTTAAATCTGTTCGGTTTCCTTTGGAATTTGGATTGTTTTAAATACAATACACCTTTAAGGCTGACAAATGATTATTGGAGTTAATCTGATCTTTCAGAAGAGTATAAAGACATATTTGGTATGCTTAAAGCCTTCCATGACCAGTGGGAACTGCAGGAACAGGAGTGCATGATCTTCCCCATGAATGACATTTTAATTTAACTGTCATATGCTGGGACACTGGGTTAATGTATGCAATGCTGCACCTTGTGAATAAACCTGTCATCAAGGAAATGATCTGTGCCTGGCTTCAGGCTTCACCACGTGGTTTGGAACTGTGTAGCTTTATTCACTCACCTTTCCTCGCTGTGACCAAAGTGGGGGATCAAGCTGTCCTCGTGGTAACAGTCCATTTTCAAGGCAGGAGAGAAAGGCTAACAAGTGACCACCCTGGGGGAAGTGAAGTGGAGGTCTTTGGATTCCATCCTGACTGACCAACACAAGAGTACCTCCACTGTCAGCTGAAAAAAAAAAATTTACTTTCATAAGATAACGATATCACCCAACTATATAAGCATGTATGCATCGATCACTGAGCAATTAACCCTTTGGCCATTTGTGACTACTACATCTTAGGATGATAAAGTTACACAATGTACATCATTAAAAGCCAGTCATTGATTTCTAGATGTAACATGCAACATACATATGAAGCTTAAACATAACAATTGTCCTGACTAAGGCAATTTAGATTTAAAGTTCCCTTTGAGTTTGTGTTACTGCATGTTTTGCACCTATTTAACTACATATTCAAAAAAGTTACAATTTTGTTATTTCTTTAAACTCTGTCAAGGAATGTGGACATCCCTGGCAAGGCCTGCATTTGCAGTCCATCCCTAACTGCTCTTGAAGTGAGTGGCTTGTTAAAACATTTCAGAGGGAAGTTGAGAGTCAACCGAATTACTGTGGGTTTGAAGTCACGTGGGCCAGATCAGGAAAGGCCGGTGTATTTTTTTAAAAATTTAGTTGCAGGATGTGTGCATAGCTGGATGGACGTGCATTTATTGCCCATCCCTAGTTGCCATTAAAAAGGTGGCAACAAGCTGCCTTCCTTCACATGCCTTCCACAACACCCTTAGGGGGAAGACAGTGATGGAACAACAATAAATTACAAGTCAGGATGGTGAGTGACTTGGAGGGTAACTTGCAGATGGTAGTGTTCCCATGTAAAAGCTGCCGTAGTCCTTCTAGAAGGAAGTGGCTGTTATTTTGGAAGGTGCTGTCTAAGGATCTTTGGTGTATTGCTGCAGTGCATCTTGTAGATGATACACACAGCAGCTACTGAGCACCAGTGGAGGGAGTGGATGCTTGTGGATGTGGTGCCAATCAAGTGGCTGCTTTGTCCTGGATGGTGTCAATCTTCTTTAGTGTCTTTGGAGCTGCAGCCACTCAAGCAAGTGAAAAGTATTCCATCATACTCCTGACTTGTGCCTTGTAGATAGGTTTTGGGGAGTCAGGAAGTAAGTTACTCGCCGCAGTATTTTTGGCCTCTGACTGGCTCTTGTAGCCAATGTGTTTATGTGGGGAGTTCTTGAACAATGATAGCTCCCAGGATGTTGATAATGGGGGATCCATTGATCGTAATGACATTGAATGTCAAGGGGCAGTGGTTAGAGAGTCTCTTATTGAAGACAGTCATCGCCTGGCATTTGTGTGGTGCGAATATCAGTTCCCACACCTGGATATTAACCACATCTAGGTGCATCTGAACATGGACTGCTGCAGTATCTGAGGAGTCACAAATATGGTTGATCATTGTGCAATCAATCATCGGCGAACATTCCCACTTCTGACCTTATGGTGGAGGGAAGGTCATGGATGAAGCAGTTGAAGATACTTGGGCCTAGGACACCACTCTGAGGAACTCCTGCAGAAATATCTTGGAGCTGAGATGACTGACCTCCAACAACTATAACCATCTTCTTATGTGCCAGGTATGACTTCAACCAGAAGACAGTTGGCTCCCGATGTCCATTTTTGCCAGGGCTCCTTGATGCCACACTCAGTCGAATGCAGCCTTAATGTCAAGGCCTGTCACTCACTTCACCTTTGGAATTCAGCTCTTTTATCATGTTTGAACCAAGGCTGCAATGAGGTCAGGAGCTGAGTGACCCTGGTGGAACCTAAACTGGGCATCACTGAGCAGGTTATTGCTGAGCAGGTGCTGCTTGATAGCACTGTTGATGACACCTTCCATCACTTTATTGATGATCGAGAGTAGACTGATAGGGTGGTAATTGGCTGGGTTGGATTTGTCCTGCTTTATGCGTACAGGATGTGCCTGGTGTGTTGGGGGTCTTCCATCATTCAGGATGGGAATATTTTGGAGCCTCTCTTCCAGTGAGTTGTTTAATTGTCCACCAGCATTCATGACTGGATGTGGCAGAACTGCAGAGCTTAGATCTGATCCATTGCTTGTGGGATTGCTTAGATCTGTCTATCACTTGCTGCGCATGCTCGTTGGCAACAGGTAGTCCAATTTGGTAGTTTCATCAGGTTGACACCTCATTTTTGGGTATGCCTGGTGTTGCTCCTGGCACGTCCTCCTGCACTCTGCATTGAACCAGGATTGATCCCCTGACTTGCTGGTAATGGTTGAGTGGGGGATATGCCAGACCATGAGGTTGCATCTCATGAGTGCCCAGTCTTAAGAAGCTAGATCTGTTCGAAGTGTGTCCCATTTAGCATAGTGATAGTGCCACACAACATGATGGAGGGTATTCTCAATGTGAAGGCAGGACTTCATCTCCACAAGGATTGTGCGGTGGTCACTCTTATTGATACTGTCATAGACAGATACGTCTGCAGCTCACAGACTGGTAAGGATGAAGTCAAATATGTTTATCCTCTCGTTAGTTCCCTCACCACCTGCCGCAGACCCAGTCTAGCAGCTTTGTCCTTCAGGAGCTGACCAGCTCGATCAGTAGCGCTGTTGCTGAGTCACTCTTGGACATTGAAATGCTCCACCCAGAGTACATTTTGCACCCTTACCACCCTCAGTGATTCCTCCAAGTGTTGTTCTCCATTGTGGAGTACTGATTCATCAGCCAAGGGACAACGGTATGTGGTAATCAGCAGGAGGTATCCTTGCCCATGTAAAACCTGAAGCTGTGAGACTTCATAGACTCTAGAGACAATGTTGAGTATTTCCAGGGCAACGCCCTCCTGACTGTATACCACTGTGCAGCCACCTCTGCTGGGTCCGTTCTTCTGGTGGGACAGGGCATATCCAGGGATGGTGATGATGGTATCTGGGACATTGTCTAGAAGGTATGACTGTGTCAGGCTGTTGCTTGACTAGTCTGTGAGACAGCTCTCCCAATTTTGGCATTAGCCCCCAGATTTTAGTAAGCAGGCTCGGCAGAGTTGTTTCTGCCATTGTCTCTTCTGGTGCCTGGGTCAATACCAGATGGTCTGTCCAGTTCCATTTCTTTGTTGAGACTTCGTAGCCATTGATACAACTGAGTGCATTGCTCAACCATTTCAGAGGACAGTTGAGAGTCAACCACATTGTTGTGGGTCTGGAGTCAAATGTAGGCCAGACCAGCTGAGGATGGCAGATTTCCTTCCCTGAAGGACATTAGCGAAAATTAGGATTTTCCTTTTCCAAAGTGAATCAGTTGGGTTTTTACAACAAATGATGATAGTTTCAAGGTCACCAGTACTGAGATTAGCTTCCAATGCCAGAATTGTGTCTTTTTATTATTGAATTTAAATTGCACAAGCTACCACGAACGTAAGAAATAGGAGCAGGAGTTGGCCATCTGGTCCGTCAAGCTTGCTCCACTCATTCAATAAGATCATTTTTTTTGTGCACTCAGCTTACCCGCGCACTCACCATAACCTTTAATTCCCTTACTGTGCAAAAATCTACTTTTGTCTTAAAATCATTCAAAGAGGTAGCATCAACTGCTTCACTGGGTAGGGAATTCCACAGATCTTCACCCAAAGGGTTGTGTAAGTTCCTCCTCAACTCAGTCCTAAATCTACTCCCCCTTATTTTGAGGTTATGCCCCTTAGTTCACGATGGGATATGAACCCATGTCCCCACAGCATTCAAGTCATATTTGCTTCTCACTCATGTAAGGAAATCGTAGGTCACTAGCAATCATAACATGTTTACATCCTGACTATTAGAACATTGGCACTCAAGAAAAGACCATGTGAAAGTATAAAGTGAAAAGACACTTACGCTGTTGGTGGCAATGGATGCAGACTATCTGACTTAATGGTACAGTTAAAGCGTAATCCCAGTAGACACTGAAAATGACCAATAAAATAATATTTTAAAATTTTTGACACTTGCAGATTCAGAATTCCTTTGTGATTCAGAATTCCTTCATGAGCAACTGAAGATTTCTCTTTAATGAGATCGTGATTATGTGATCTTGTAGCAAAGATATACAACAGGAACACTGACCCAGCAAGATGAGTGGGAAAGTCCCCAAGAAAATTCTCAGGAATGGAGTGCACTGAAAGTTGTTAGTTGCTGTGACACTGGCTGTTGACACAAATTGAACAAATACAGAATAAACTTTGAAAAAATTAAAATACTGTGGACGTTGAAATTCTGAAATAAAGAGAGACTTTCTGGAAACGTAGGGAATAAGCATCCCGCACAATAATGAAACTCACACAAAAATCATAGGAAATTAAAAATGCATTTTACCTCTTTTCAAGCTCTGAATCTCCCAGAGTCCCATTCATGAGCTGGTTTGGGGTCCACTTCAGAGTTAAATGTTCTGCAGACTGATGAAGTGAGAGGTATCCTGGAATAGTCTCAACGTCCTCCTTCTGTCAGAGGAAACAAAAACATTGAGTTTACTGCTGCTTTCCCAGGAAATGGTGCTGCTTGCGAGGCAAATATTTATTGCCCAAACCTGGGCTCCCTTGAGAAAAGGGCGGTGACTCATCTTCTTGAACTGATGCAGTATGTCTGCTGCAGGAACTCCACACTGCTACTAGTGATAGAGATGTAGCAGATTAATGTGTGTTGATCAGGATTTCTACCCATCCCATCATGCAAGCCAGCTACTCCCTCCTAACAGTTGCTGCCAAACCAGTTGAGATGTTAGAGATGTGCTCGACTGGCATTTGGTTCTGTTACGACTTCACTTTTGGTGGACATGCTGCTAGCAATCCTTCTTGTAGTTATTTTCAAATGAAACTGTTCAGAGATGTAATTACGAAGCTCTGGAGCAGGTGGGACTTGAACCCAGGTCTCTTGGCTCAAAGGTACTATTCTTGTATTACTAGTCTACAGATACTTGATAGTATCACTAGTGGTTAATCCTTCACCACTTAAGTCTTCATCAGAAGAGGCATGCACTTGAGTAACAAGTAGCAGTTTATTACAAACTAGCTATGATAGCTGGTTCCATTAGTTTAAAACTGGACTATATCACACTTTGTAAGAGAAACTGGTAACAGGCAAAGCTAAGTCCCATGACTGCTAACAGTACAGATAAAATGAGCAGACCAGAACAACTACAACAGATAACTAGAACTACCTAGCTCGTTATATATATCTCAGTGGGCAGAGATATACAAACATTTCAGAATTAACTCTTACAGGCCAACTGCCTTATACAACAAATATCTCCAGCACCAAAAACAAAGTTGCTGGAAAAGCCCAGCAGGTCTGGCAGCATCTGTGAAGGAAAATAAAGAGTTAACGTTTCGGATCCGGTGACCCTTCCTCAGAACTGAAACTCAGTTCTGAGGAAGCGTCACCGGACCCAAAATGTTAACCGCAGTTCTCTCGGTTTTTAAATATCTCCGGCATTTCCTTTTTTTAAACTTCAGAGTTAGATTACAAGCATTCACAATTGTTGCTTATTTCCCCTTCTCCACAAATATTTCCTGGCCTACTTTGCGTTTTCCTGCATTTTGTTGTTATATTGAGCTTGCATCAGTTGATGTCTGAGTCAGAAGGCTGCGGGTTCAAGTGCCACTCTAGTGAGTGGAGAACACTCCAGCGAGTGGGTCACTGGGCCGAAACGTTAACTCTGTTTTTCCCTTCACAGATGCAGCCAGACCTGCTGAGCTTTTCCAGCAACTTTGTTTTTGTCGTGGATATAAAAGATGGATTTCAATCTTTTGAAGAGAAGGAGGAGTTCACTCTCACTGGTGTGTCCAGGTCATTATTTATCTCCCAAACAACCCAACTAAAGCAGATTTATCTGATAATCATCACATTGCTGTTTGTGGGTTCTTGCTACGTGCAAAATGGCTGCTGCAATTATAAAGGCACTTTATTGGTTGTAAAGCACTTTAGGTAATCTGAAGATTGTAAATGGTAATATATAAATGAAAACTTAGGGCTCTTGTGACACTGTGGTAGCATCCCTACCACTGGACAAGGAGGCCTGTGTCTAAGTCTCATCTGCTCCAGAGGTGCGTGATAACATTGTTGAACAGGTTGATTAAAAATATCTATTGACACAAACCTACGTCAGTGACACCACCCACGCCCTCCACCTCCTGCAGAACTTCCAATTCCCCGGACCCCAACGCCTCATCTTTACCATGGACGTCCGATTCCTATACACCTGCATTCCCCATACAGATGGCCTAAAGGCCCTCCGCTTCTTCCTGTCCCGCTCCACTGACACCCTCATCCGCTTAGCCGAACTCGTCCTCACCCTCAACAACTTCTCTTTCAATTCCTCCCACTTCCTACAGACAAAGGGGGTGGCCATGGGTACCTGCATGGGCCCAAACTATGCCTGCCTCTTTGCAGGTTACGTGGAACAATCCCTCTTCCGTACCTACACTGGCCCTAAACCCCACCTCTTCCTCCGTTACATTGATGACTATCGGCGCCGCCTCGTGCTCCCAGGAGGAGCTCAAACAGTTCATCACTTCATCAACACCTTCCACCCCAACCTTAAGTTCACCTGGACCATCTCTAATACCTCTCTCTCCTTCCTGGACCTCTCTGTCTCCATCTCTGGCAACCACCTAGAAACCGATATCCATTTCAAGCCGACTGACTCCCACAGCTACCTAGAACACACCACCTCCCACCCACCTTCCTGCAAAATTGCCATCCCCTATTCCCAATTCCTTCGCCTCTGCTGCATCTGCTCCAAGGATGAGGCATTCCACTCCCGTACATCTCAGATATCCTCGTTTTTCAAGGACTGCAACTTTCCCCCCTCAGTGGTCAAGAACACCCTCGACCTTGTCTCCCGCATTTCCCGCAACTCATCCCTCACAAGCCCTCCCTGCAATAACAACCAAAAAAGAATCCCCCTCGTCCTTACGTACCACACCACCAACCTCCGGATCCAACGCATCATCCTCCGACACTTCCACCATCTGCAATCCGACCCCACCACCAAAGACATTTTTCCCTCCCCACCCTTATCTGCTTTCTGGAGGGACCACTCTCTCTGTGACTCCCTTGTCCGCTCCACACTCCCCTCCAGCCCCACCACACCTGGCACTTTTCCCTGCAACCGCAGGAAGTGCTACACCTGCCCCTACACCTCCCCCTCACCACCATCCCAGGCCCCAAGAAGACTTTCCACATCAAGCAGATGTTCACCTGCACATCTGCTAATATGTGGTATACTGCATCCGCTGTTCCCGTTGTGGCCTCCTCTACATCGGGGAAACCAAGTGGAGGCTTGGGGGCCGCTTTGCAGAACTCCTACGCTCGGTTCGCACTAAACAACTGCTCCTCCCAGTCGCGAAACATTTCAACTCCCCCTCCCATTCCTTAGATGACATGTCCATCCTGGGCCTCCTGCAGTGCCACAATGATGCCACCCGAAGGTTGCAGGAACAGCAACTGATATTCCGCTTGGGAACCCTGCAGCCCAATGGTATCAATGTGGACTTCACAAGCTTCAAAATCTCCCCTCCCTCTACCGCATCCCAAAACCAGCCCAGCTTGTCCCTGCCTCCCTAACCTGTCCTTCCTCCCACCTATCCCCTCCTCCCACCTCAAGCCCCACCCCCATCTCCTACCTATTAACCTCATCCCGCCCCCTTGACCTGTGCGTCCTCCCTGGACTGACCTATCTCCTCCCTACCTCCCCACCTACACTCACCTTTACTGGCTCCATCCCCGCCTCTCTGATCTGTCTGTCTCCTCTCCACCTATCTTCTCCTCTATCCATCTTCTATCCACCACCCCCTCTCTCCCTATTTATTTCAGAACCCCCTTCCCCTCCCCCATTTCTGAAGAAGGGTCTAGGCCCAAAATGTCAGCCTTCCTGCTCCTATGATGCTGCTTGGCCTGCTGTGTTCATCCAGCTCTACACCTTG